GACCCACCTCAGCGCTCATGAGCCAGGACTCATGGTGGCTGGGCTCCTAGGCAGCTCTGTAGAAAGAGGGTGCAGGTGACACCTGCACAAAGGCTCAAGTTGAGGAAGCTGAAGCAGCCAGGTTTCTGCCAGTCCCAGAGCCCTGGGAAGAGCCCCGGGGGGCAGGAGGATAATATGGAAGGGATGAGGGCCCAGGCCCTTTGACACCTCCCTCCATTTCCCCATAAGCCCATGATGGACCGGAACAAGGCGGCTGAGCTCCCCAAGCTGCAGGTCGGCTTCATCGATTTCGTGTGCACATTTGTGTACAAGGTGAGCGCCAGGCATCCATGCTAACCTGGCAGTGGCTGGGGGAGGATGCAGGGGGAGCCAGTAGCATCCTCACAGGAGAAGGGACGCTGTGTGGCCACATGCCAGGCTGACACAGTAAATGGGGGGCCCTACCTAGCCTGCTTTGCACACCCACCTTCACCCCATGTGCTTCCCAGCCAGGTGCTTCCCAGGCATAAGTGTCCTCATACACCTCCCAGTCACCCCACCCATGGCCCAGCACACATAGGACCAAGGTATACCTTGCTTAGGGTGACCCGGAAGACAAGGGCAGGGTTGGGATGGCCTGTGCCTGTTAGGGTGCCTGCCCCGATGGGACCTGCAGTTAGTCAAGGGCCCTATTCCCTACAGAACCCAGAGTTCTGTTGTCTGTCTCCAAGGACACCTGGCAGGATTTAGAGGGACTTGTGATAGGAACCTAACTACAGAGCTTCATATAAGGCCTCATAGGACACTTTGGCTTGTGGGAGCCAGGCTTCTCTGGTTGCTCTTGGTAGTGATGACTGATCCACTGTCCTAGGAGGATGCTGTCTGGTTCTAAGCGAGGCTTGTGCTGAGCAGCTACACAGGTAGAAGCAAGGACATTTTCTTCTGGTAGCCACAGGTCAGGGCCAACATACACACTTCCTGCTGCCTTCTTCACTCCATCCATACTATGTGATCTGTGTATGTGTGATTTGTGGTGTGCACATGTGATATGACTTGTGACATGTAATGTGATGTGTGCAAATAGACTGCATCATGTAATAGGTGGGTATGCATGTGTGATGCGCATGCACATGACATGTACATGATACCTGCACATGTGCATGTGATGTGTATACGGTTTGTGAAGCACATGACAGGTCTGAATTATACATATCCGTATGGAGTGTGCACACATAATCTGTGCATCTGTAGTGTATACTACCATGTGTGCACTACATGTACACACGTGATTGTGTGTATGAGCATGTGAGAGAAGCAGATGGGCCCTGTCTCTGCCTACACTCTGCCTGACAGAAGCCCATCTGCAGGGGCCTAGCCGTGACCTGGACACTTTCTGTTCTGTCTGTATCATGAGCACACACATCCCAGACCCCAAGCCTCCTCCTTTAGGGCTTTGCTGGGAAAAGAACATCTCAGGAGTCCTCATGGTTGAGAGGCCAAGTGGGGTGGACAGAGGTCAACATCAAGTTCTCCAGGAACAAGCAGACAGGCCTGGCTTTCCAATTTCCCCCAGGAGTTCTCCCGTTTCCACGAGGAGATCCTACCCATGTTCGACCGTCTGCAGAACAACAGGAAGGAGTGGAAGGCACTGGCTGACGAGTATGAGGAGAAAGTGAAGGTTCTGGAGGAGAAGAAGAAGGACGAAGACAGAGCAGCTAAGAAAGGTCTGGGCCCCTTGCCTTGGCCTGGGCCAGGCCCCTGATTAATACCCCATGCCAAAGCTGCAAACTGAGAGTCAAGGATATAGCTCAGCAGCACAGCATCTGCCTGGCAAGCACAGGTCCTGAGTTTGATTCCCAGTACCAGATACGAAGGAAGGGAGGGAGGGAGGAAGAAAGAGGAAGCAAGCAGCAAAGTGGCAGAGGCCATGCAGCAGTCAGACCTAGAGAAAAGCAGAGTGGCACTGTATGCAAGAGGCCTCTCCCCATAGCTGAGACCTAGGCTGGGATTTCTCTTGCTCTCTAAGCAAGTAACTGTGCTGCCTCCTCCTTCACAAAGAAGCCAAGCTCCCCAAGCACCTGTCATGTTCTGTCCACAAGCAGAAATTACCTAAGTATTTTTAGAAAATCTACCCATTGCCCCACGTCACCCTAAGAAACAAAACTGCAACTCTAAAACAAAAAACAGTAACCCAAGCCGGGCATGAGGCCTCACACCTGTAATCCCAGCACTTGGGAGGTTGAGGCAGGAAGATCATTGTGAGTTCAAGACCAGCCTAGGCTACAAAGTGAGCTCAAGGCCAGCCTGGTCTGCATAGTGAGACCCTGTCTCAAAAAAGGCAAAAACAATAACAACAACAACAACAAAAGCCAGTAACCCAGAGGCTGGTGGTTTAGCTCAGTGGCATGGCTGCCAGGTAAGCATGAGATCATGAGTTCAATTCCCAGTACCAAAAAAACCTCCCAAGTAACCAAGGGCCAGAATAGAACTCAGCAGCAGAGCACCTGCATGGCAAACACAAGTCCTAAGTTTGATTCCCAGTATAGGGGTAAGGAGTGCTAGTAACCAAGAAGGCCAGATAATGGCACATGCCTGCAATCTCAATACTTGAGAATCTGAGACAGGAAGACTGCTGTGAGTTCAAGGCCAGCCTGGGCTGCATACTGAGTTCAGGTTTGCCTAAACTACACAATGAGACCCTGTCTTAAAAAAAAAAAAGACAAAAAAAAAAATCGTAACCAAAGAAAAAAAGACAACAGTTAGCACACCTTGACCAGAACTTGTTTCCATGTCACCCCACATCATGGGAATGTGATTCAGCTGGCCAGTGCACCCCAAATTAGAGTCCCAATGGCACTGCCTTGCTCTTCTTGCCTGTCCTGCCCATCCCACTTGGTCTTCCTGCTGTTCCCTTCTCTTCCTACCAGTAGGCAGAAAGCCAGCACAAACCTCTGGGTTTCCGGAAGCTGGAACTGACAGTAAATTAGGGCACAGTGTCAACACAGGCTAAAGCTCTAAGACAGGCTCAACCCAGCTAATCAGCTTAGGCTGGGTATGGACCCACTCCACCTGCTGTCCTGCAGGAGCCAATAGAGGACACACAGAGTACAGGGAGGGAAAGTGCTTGCTCACTGTCCATCTCCTCTTGCAGTGGGCATGGAAGTTTGCAACGGTGACCCAGCACCCAAGTCTTCAACCTGCTGCATCCTGTGAGCCACTGGCTCCCTCCCTCCACACAATTGCTAGACTGGGGCTCTGCCTTTGGTTGCACATAAGTTAAGCAAGGGAAGTACTGAGCGTGGTGGCACATGCCTGTGACCCCAGCACTCACACAGCTGAGGCAACAGGATCACTGCAAGTTCAAGGCCAGCCTGTGCTACATAGTGAGTTCAAGGCCAGCTGGACTACATAGCAAGACCTCTCAAAAAGAAATAAAAGAAGGAAAAGAAAGCAGAAAAAGTGACCAAAGATAATTTTGGATACATTTTTTTAAGGTTTGTTTTTATGAATTAAAGCCAACTATAACTTCAATGGTGTAGCATGTTTGATTTTTTTAGATAGTTCCCACTATCTAAGAGAGTCTGGAAGTCAGAAACCTGAGTGTTGACATTCAGAACAGTATGTGTACATACATGCACATATGTAGATAGTAACATCTATCCCATCGGTTCTACTAGACGTACCCAGGAATTTGGAATAAAGAAAAAACAACTCTCCCATGTTTTATGATGGAATTATTGTGGTGGGCTCATAGCGTGTGACCCATCAGGAAGTTGTGCCAAAAAAGTCTGTTCATGGCAGGGAAGCAGTGGAAGGGGGATCTGTAACAGATCCTGGGGTTAGGACCTGAAGCTGCCAGCCCTACAGGGGGAAGCTTTGCTTAGAGCACCTGTCACTGCCAGTGACAATGCTGGTGAGGCTACAGAAAGAGACAGAAAGTCCCACCAAACTTCACCATTCACCTTTGAAAGGGTTACCATCTAGTGAAAAGTGACACACCCTTTTTCTTTAAGGTAAGTCTCATTGCATGGCCCAGGCTGGCCTTGAACTCCCAATTCTCATGCCGAAAATAACAGCTGACACTTGTGAGCACCAAGGCATTTGCTACACTCACAATGGATACTTCCAGGGTGGGGTAAAGGGAGAACAGCCAGCACAGCCACCTGCCTGCAGCAAGGGGGAGCTGGTTTAACCTTCACCTCACTCAGAGACTTGTTACAAGAGACCAAGACAGGGGCCAGGGGTCTCAAAGTTCCAAGGGATTCTGCAGCAACCAGAGGGATCCAGAAGCTGGGATATCAGATGGGAACATGTATCAATTTCACCCACAGAAACCAAAAGGTGTTTTGAAATGTTTTGTGTGCTGTTTCTCCTCATATTTGCAAATCAACTCACTTTGCAAACAAAAACTGGGGTCTAAGCATAGAAATTTGCTGAAGGCATGCAACTGGGAAGTAGCAGCACCCTCTCATTCTATTCTGAACCAACAAGCCAGGACTGCTTAGCTCACCACCTACAGGAGCCCAGGAGCCCAGCCTGGTGAGGGACATCTGCCTGGCACATACCCCAGCCTGCCTGAATAGTTCAGTGTCAGGACGTGGTCAGTCTCAGGGACACCTCCCCAAGACCCCAGCAGGGTTGTGAGTTGAGGACAGAGCGTCCACCTTCCCAGTGTAAGGGCATGAGCTCACCCCACCCCCAACACCACCCTGTAACTTCCTCTGCTTAACCAGAGAACTTGGCTGTTGACAGAGCAGTAAGGAGAGCCCAGAGTGGACTGAACAGCACCCCAGAGGCTGGAACTTGCTCCATTACATCCCGAACCCCCAGTAGACACAAGATAACACAGGCATTGTTCCTTCAGCTTGTGAGCTGCATTTTGGTTCTAGGGTAGTTAATGCTTCTTAGTTCCTTTGAAATCTCTCCCAGAGCCCTGCCCTGAGGAAAGCAGCACAACTACTGAGCTGGAGTCCAGAAAATGGACAGCTGGGGCAGCAAAGAGAGGGAGCCAGAGCACCACATAATTCAGAAGCTTTATTCATCCACTGGAGCTGGGGCAATGCAGACTGCTGGCTCTTCTCACTTCAGTATACTGTCATCCTGGGCTGAAAAGTTAAAAGAAATAATGTGTTGCAACTTGTATGGCTCTCAGACCAACTACAAAGACCACTTCAGAGTTTAATTTCTGTTTCATTCTGTCTTTGAGACAGCCTCTCACTATGCAGTTCAGGCTGGTCTCGAACTTGCAACAATCCTCCTGCCTCAGCCTCCTGAGTGCTAGGATTACAGGCGTGTGCCTGTTTTAAGAGTTTCAATTTCAAACATATCAGAATCTGCTTTACACAGAAACCTTTACACAGGCGACATAAAACTCCAAGGGGATTGCCAAAGGGTCAGCAGAGGAGCAGATGACAGTCCTCGGGTGGTACAGGCACTGCACGGTGCCAATCTGGGGCCTGGGCTCCTCTAAAAGCAAACTGTGCTGACACCCCCCCCCCCAAACAAGGCCGCTCCTGGGAGGGCAGCAATGTGAGTGAAGCAGAGTCTCCTCCTTTACTCAGCAGTAGCTCTTTGATCTTGAACGCCGGTGAGCAGGGTGCTCTGAGAGGCGTACTCAATACCTTCTGCCAGTTCCCTCTCGATTCGTTTCAACTCATCCTGCCTCTTCTTCTCCTCTTCGGCTACCCGCCTTTCTTCCTCTGCCCGAGGCTTCAGGTAACCTAGCAGTAGGGGTGGCAAATTAACTCCTTCCCCAAAGACGTTGGGTGAAAGGAGCCCACCTCCTGGTGGCTGCGACCGCTCGCCCTAGGTCCCTCACCTGGGCGAAGCCCCTCACTCCCAGCCCTCAATATGGTCCCCAGCGCCCTGCCCCTCCCTGCTCACTTACTGTAACGCTTGGCTCCGTAGGCGATGCCAACAACCAGGGCAGAGTAGCGGCCGAGCTGTGGGACAAGGCGTCAGTGCGGGGTGGGGGTCGTGGGGATAGAGGGGCAGTGGGCGCAGGGGCGAGGGCGCGGGCATGGAAAGCAGGAGTGGGGGGCAGGGTATCCCGGGGACCGAAGGAAAGTGGTCGCGGGGTCGAGGACGAGGGTGGGACGTAGAGAGGTGCATGCAGGGGACTGGAGCACCACACGGCGCCAGCGACACCAAGTTCACCTTGATGAGCGGAGAGACCTGCACTGGTGGCACCATCTTGTTCCTGACCTTCGCGCCGGAAGCACAACTGAGCAGGGGAGAACGCACGGAAGTCCGGGTCAGTGGAGTGTGCGCATGCGCGATAGCGGAGTATGGGGCAGGGCGACTCCCTCTACTGGCCACAGTGAGTGTTGCGTCCCGCTCAGTGATGACGTCACAGCGCAAGCAAGCGAGGACCAAGACTGGACGCAGGTGTCATGCTGGAGAGCGATGACTTGCAGAGCCTAGCGCTTCTCTGAGAGCCCTAGGGAGTATTCAGACCCACGTTACGGGAGTCGGGGACCATGCGGAGTGATCTCGAGTACGGCCTCCCAGAGCCCTCAGGCCTGCACCCAAGGAGGATCCGGCAATTTCCAGGGAAGGCCTCAACTTCCGGAGCTGTCCCGCGACCCAGACTCTGAGCCCATGAAGCGGTAGGGTCCCTAGTGACCTCTCTCCCGCCTCCCAATGAGGGACCCAGCTGGGCCTTGTACTAAGGTCCACTGAGGTAGGAAAAGATAAAAGGTATGGTAGAGAAAAGATAAATAACTAAAAACTGTACTTTTTTTTTTTTTCAGAGACAGGTTCTCACTAGGTAATCAAGGCTGGCCTGGCAACGACCCTCCTGAAAACTTGTATTTTTAAGAAAGCTGCAACTTACAGGAACACCCAAGGCTATCCATATCAGCCTTCGAGTAAATTTAGACTCCTGTTATGCCCACAATTCCTCAGGAATGCTAAAAATCCATAAATTAGCTTCACTGAGAAGTTAAGAAGCTGGAGAGCAAGAATCTGATCCCAACATAAAGGAGCCAGTAGAGACAATTCAAAGAATGTTTTAGCTGAACACACTTGTTTATAATCCCAGCTCTTAGGAAGCAGAGGTAAGAGAATTGCTCTGAGTTCAAGGCCAGCCTGAATTACATAGTGAGCTAACGGCCAGTTTGAACTGTATAGTGAGACTCTGTCTCAAAAAAAAAAAGAAAAAAGACTGTTTTAATTACTAAACGAAAGTCCGTACCAGTTCAGTACAATGATCTGATACCTTTGGTGGGGTGAGGGAAGATGAACACCTTTTCCTTGGTTTCCAACCCTTCAAGAAGTATAATGTTTCCCCTTCCAGGAAATAATGCATCTCATTTTTCTGAGGGCTCACATTTTGCTCACAAGTGTATCCTAAATCTCTTATAAATCCTTTATCAGAGTTTATCTCTCCGATGCAATCCAATGACAGCCCCTTCAGCCCACTTTTTCTTACTCAACAGATCCCATTTTCCAAAGAACACAATGCAGCATTGCAAACATGAGACTATCCCACTAGCCCCAGGCCCTAGCCCCTCAAGCCTGGCCAGGAGCTAGAATACTGGGGCCATCCCACAGGGCTCCCTGCTCATGCCCACCCTGAGGAGGCAGACCAAAGTTCAACCCCAAGAAAGATGCAGAACCCAGCCTTCCTCAGCCTCATGGTTCTTTGCAACCTGCAAGCCTCCTGACCGCACAAAATACCCTTCACTCTCTCTTCCTGCTCTTGAGCTGCTGGACAGGTTGATACAGGAGAACTATAAGTATCAGTCTATTAGATATCATGCAATGGCAAGCAGAAACAGTGAAAAGACACCTAGGATTTGGAGGTAGATTTATTTACGTCAATCAGCACTGATGGGGATCATTCCTAGAATATCAGGCCAGGCTCTCCAGTGATCTAGGGTTTTTATATGATGTACAAGGAGGAGTTACAGAGGAGAGACAGAACATCCTGGCAGTTCTGATTAGCTAGCAGGGTGAAATCATCAGTCACAAGAGTAGATTAATGATCATCAGTTCTTGAAGTTTGGTACAGTAATACAATCAGGCATCCTGCATGTTCCGTTATACGTTTGTGTTTACAAGGGTCAAGAAAGTAATTACAAAAGCTATGTAAGCAGTTACAGAGCCAGGTAGTTTCAAAAGAATAAAGTTTTTAAAAGAACAACTTCTCTTATACAGTTTTTCCCTTTCAGTCAAATTTGCCAAGTTTGTGGTCTTTGACAGCAACGAGTCACATCTATGTGGCCACAGAAATTTGAGGTTCAGATATGCACAGAGAGAGCCACACATTGCTTTTTAAAAGATAAAAACAGGGGGCTGGGGATTTAGCTCAGCGGCATAAGCACCTGCCTTGCAAGCAGGCAGTCATGAGTTCGATCCCCAGTACCGATAAAAAGGAAAACAAAAAAACAAACAAACAAAAAAGATAAAAATAGGGGGCTGGGGATTTAGCTCAGTGGCATAAGCGCCTGCCTTGCAAGCAGGCAGTCATGAGTTCGATCCCCGGGACCGATAAAAAGGAAAAAGACAAAAAAAAAAAAAAAAAAAAAAAAAAACCAGATAAAAATAAAGTACTGGGTGTGATGGTACATGCCTGTAATCCCAGCACTGGGGAGGCTGAAGCAAGAGAATTGTTGCAAGTTTGAGACCAGCCTGGGCTACAAAGTGAGCTCAGAGCTAACCTGAACTGCACAGCAAGACTTTGTCTCAAAAAGATCCCCCCAAAGAAGATAGAAGTAAATTGGCTATAAAAATACAGTACTAGGTATGGTGATGTACCCCTATAATCCTAACAGGAAGCTGAGGCAGGAGGATCGCTGTGAGTTCAAAACCAGCCTGAGCTACAGAGTGAACATGAACTAGCATAAACTACATAGTAATACCCTGTCCAGAAAAAAAAAAAGGCAAGGGGCTGGGCATGGTGACACACACCTGTAATCCCAGTACTCCACAGGCTGAGGCAGGAGAATCACCACAAATTCCAAGACCAGTCAGCCTGAACTACATAGTGAGACCCTGTCTCACCAAAAAAAAAAAAAAGGAAAAAAGAAAAGAAAAAAATCAGCAGATATAAGCATAGTCAAATAATATATTACCACACAATGAGACAGAGATGAAAGATGAAAAGGACTCCTCCAGGAAAGGATCTTGCATGAGGTGAAGCTTTCCACAAGCAAGAGAGAAAACGTCATGCCACAGCCAGTTTCTCAATTCCTTAAGTACTGTGTAGACAAAAGTGACTTGGTACTAACAGGCCTGTGTGGCTGGAAGGAGTGTTCCTAGGCTTAGCCAGCTCTGGGAGCCATTGGTCCTTCAGTTGTTCAGTTATCTCTATATACTCCTTTCCCAGGGCCACTTAGCTAATACTGACCCAATAGAAAAGCAAGTCATGTAATGAGGATACATGAAAAGAACAAAGGCATTCTGGGGATAGGATGGGTCTAGATGGTCTGGCCACCCACCTGCGCAACTGAGGCCTATCTGGACTTAATGGAGCAGGTGGTACTAATTACTGTATAACTTCATGTTACTGTTTATCCCTTGGGAAGGCATGTAGTCCTAGCTGTTACATATATATCTTGAGACATAGCCTTATTCAGATGCATTTCCAATCACAATTCTGACTTATTTTATTTATGTGGTTGGTTGAGGATTTTGGGGGGGGTTTATTTTGTTTTTAGACAGTCTTGATATGTAGTCCAGGCTGGCCTTGAACTCACTATAGAGCCCACACTGGACTCAGACACATAGCAGTCCTTCTGCCTCAGCTTCCCAAGTGCTGGGATTATGGGTGTGCACCACCTTGCCCAATTTGATGTCTTTATTTTTTGTGCTGATTTTGAGGGCCTAGTCTCTCTGACTGTATATTAATTTCTAACTTAGCTACCTATAAGAAGATGACCTCAGGTGACCATGAGTTTTCCCTTCACTAGATTTAACATAAACCATATTCCTCAGCAGCTCAACTTCCAGAGCCAAAAATAAGTGTATCTGGGGACCTAAGGCAGAGGCAGCAGGCTGAGGGTGGAGGTTGGCAGAGAAGACACCTATGCAGTAATGTCCAAGGAAGACCCCTGGTGCCAGGTCAGGTCAGGCTCTCAGGCACAGAGGAGAGAGGGTCCCAGCACCTGTCGAGAGTCAGCTGTATGCAAAGTCCTAATATTTCCAGCTCTACTGCTGTCTTTAGTACTGAGCTCGGGATCCTCCCTGGGGCTCTATAGCCTGCTCACCTTTGGGACTCCCCACCTCTGCAGGGCCTCAAGCCTGTCCAGGGCCCTGGAATGTGTGGCTCTTCTCTATCAACCTAGCCCCCCATACCTGGCCACATTCTCCCATTCAGAATCTCCCAGGTACATGATTTCTTTGGGTCCTGCTGGCTTAGGGGATCTCAGGCAGCAGCGCCTGGAAGGGAGCTTCTATCACAGCTGTGTCCTTGGGGGCTTGGGCCTCTACCACAGTGAACACTGTACCTGTGGCTGGGTTTCAGAGATGTGCAAGGGAGAAGGGTCACCCAGCATGGTGGCCACATGCACCTGCATCCACCCTCACTTGCTGGGACCCGGCTGCCCCTGCCAAGCACAGGCCAGCCTTCCAAGGCCTGTTCTCCAGGCCCAGAGCTGCAGGGCCTAGCCTACCCACCCATTTCTCCTACTCTGCGACTTACTCCCTGGACCATGGCATCTGACTTCCAGCACCAACAACAGGTTCCTTCTCCCATCAGGCCAGGGAGTATGGGAAAGACCAGGGGTTGGTGGGGGGCAGTACAAGTGTGCCCCATCCCAGACCCTCAGAGTCACTTAGCCATCTCCAAGGCTGGTCCACCCCCAAAATGTCATCCTCCTGGGCCAAGGAGCCATTGCTGCTACATGGGCCAGGGCCAGGAGCTCTGCTGATGGATCTGAGTGGGAGCCCTGACATACACCAAGTGCTGGCCAAACACTTGGGACACTACCTCTGTGCCTCTCTGGAAAAGGCAGCTTCCTCTGAGATAGGCAGTTTCTGCCTATATGGACTCTCAGATCCTAGGCCCTGACCAGGGCATGGTAGGTAGCTCTGAAGACACATCATCGAGGCCTGGGGAAGCTGGGGACAGGGGCTATCTGAGTCTGCTAGACCACTCATGCTTGCTCTGCAGTTGTCCAATCCCCTGGGTGGCCTGAAACCTGTCCTTGCAGGGAGTGGCAGCTGAAGCCTGAGCTATCCTGGGGGACCAGGCAGGAGCTTAAGTCAAGTGGGATGGAGCCTGGGCAGGAAGACTCAGGCATGGTGAGTGGCCCATGGGTATCGGTGAGAAGCACAGACCCCATGGGTACCCTGGTGACAATCTGGGGCAAGATGAAGGTGAGTCTGGACCTTCAAGAAACCCTGATACCCATCATAGCATCCCTTTTCCCTGGAACCCTCCAGGGCCACACACAGCAAGACAGTCTTAAGCACCATGCTCTGCTAGGGCTTCAGGGATTGTTGTGCTTCCTCCTGCACATAGGATTGGGGACAGCATATTTCCTGGGCCCCTCCAGTAGCAAGTAGAGCCCCCTTACTGTCTGAATTAAGATTCCCAAATCACAGCATGCCACTGAAGTTCCTCCAATAGTGCTTAGGAACCCTCAGCCTTCCCAAGGAAGCTGTGGTACCTTGTGTACCCAGTGGGCTTCCTCTAAGTCTTCTCCAACTGTGTGCAGACCCAGATCCAGGAGTTTAAGGAGGCAAGCCCCTCTCCCACCAGGAGCCCCTGATCCAATGTTGGCTGACTATCCCTGGGTGAGGAGGCAGAGGCAGAGGCAGAGGCAGTCAGCCATGGCCCTAAGGGCCTGCCTTGGTTTCTAGGCATTCGCACCCATGGGTCAGAGCCAGGAGGGCTTCATTGACGAGGATCTGAAAGGCATCTATACCTCTCTCGGTGGGCATGTGCAGGAGGCAGAATGGATGCCCTTCTTCCTCTGCTAAGCAAAGGCACTGGCCCTGACAGCTGGCTATTGCCCCTCAGGTCATGAGAGGAGTCTCACCTCCTCCAGGAGGGAGACCTGCCCCTGGTTGCCTAGAGCTGGTGGGGCATCCAGGTGGACAAGACCAGTGGGCCAGCCAGAGCATTAGTGCCTGGGATGGGCATATGGACCTGGGAGAGGTGCAGGGGCCCATCACTCCCTCAGAGCTCAGCAGTCCCTCCACCAGCAGAGCCTTTGCCTACCTTCTTCTGGCCCTGCCCTGAGAACTGGGAAGTAGTCTGGTTTCTCCCCAGGGTCCGGGTCCAAGGTGAATGCCTTCCTTCCTGGCTTACCTTATGTCTGCAGCAGCTCCCGGCTTGCCCCACTCTGCCTCTCCCTCTCCACCACAGCCAGTGTCCCCAGCTTGAGATTGGGGAAGGGAACCCCTCCCTCTCCAGGCCTTACACCCCAGGGCTGAGGGCCTTCTCTTTTTTGTCTCCTACTACCCAGTACTACTTTGGGATCACCTGAAAAATGACTGCATGGCCAGCCCCATAGGGTCACCTGGCAGTCAACAGAGATCACGCCATGGTGTTCCTGCACTGTGGTACTGCACCCTGCCTGACAGGCAAAACCAGCAAGGATGACAAGCTGGATGCCAAGCTCAAGGAGGCTTTAGGGACCTCAACCCCACCATGTTCCTAAGCTTATTTGGGGAGAAGCTGGCCAGTGAAACCTCTGTGTTTGTTCAGTTAGCACCTAGCACCTAGAAATCCAGATGTTTCACCAAAAAAGCCTATTTTCCAGCTCCTAAAAAGCCTGGGACCAATCCTGACAAGGCCTGAGCTCCAGCTGTGTGTGGCCTCTGTCCTGTGCTCTCAACCCCATCCCACCCCCACCCCCAGGCCTGGGCTAAAATGACAGGGAGGCCTCCAACAGTGGGCATGGGCCTGGAGCCCTGAGCAGGTGGCACTCTGAGGTGTCCATGCAGTGACACCAAGATGACCATCCTAAATGCCATGATGCTGGATCCAGCTGGCAAAGGCAGCATCCACAAGAAGTAGTGAGTGTTGGCTTCCTCAGAATCCCCAACCCAGGGTGTGTGGAGCATGCTGCCCAGACAGGTCCAGACACTTCCCATTTTTCTTTCCCCACTTCCCATTCTTCAAGGGCCATTCAGAGACTCCAAGAGCCTAGTCCTTGGGTAACTTAGTGAGAGCCCAGGGATGGAGGGCCTGGTGTCAGATTCTCCAGCTTCTGCTCAGCCCTTTGCAGTTTTGTGGGCTGGGTCTCCTTGGGCCAGGTGCAGGGAAAAATTCCAGCAGCCTCTGACCCCATCAGCTGCTGAGTGTCCATGGGTACTGGTGATCATCAGATGGCCAGGAGTGCATGGAGGTGGGGTTCAGATGCGACAAGCCCCACGGGGGAGCTAGGTGGGCACTTCCCTCCTCAGCATCAAATGGCTGCAGTTGTCCCCAGCTGCCACTAAGGTGCCTGTACCCCACTCCACCCTCCTGGGCTCTGAAGACCAAACATGTAGGGGGCACCCCTGAGTGAGTCAGAAGGCTCTGCAGTGCTGCTCTGGGCAGGACAGAGGGCACTCAGACTTGGGGATCTCTCTAGGGGGACGGAGCTGACTAGGGAGCACTCAAATCAGAGCTGGAGGCTGTCCTGTCCAAGGGGCTGGACTCAGAGCAGGGCCATCTCACCCTAGCCCAAATCCACACCCCAGAATCAATGCCACCTGGGATTCCTGCTTCTCCCATAGTGCCCAAAGACTGGGACTGGACACTTGGCACCTCTGAATTAGAGACTAGTGGCCTGAAGCACTACGGTCCTGGGTCTGTGTGCTCCACCCCATCTCATGCTGTGTCCACTCCACCCTACTCTACCCTACCTCTCCACGCTGCTCTTCCCTACCTGTCCCACTCTCCCACTGAGCCCTGGGTCCCCCAGCTAGGCAGTAGCTCATCCCCACCCTGGCCCTGCCCCGGCCTCCTGCCATGCCCTTTGCGGCCCAGTCCACCAAGAAACACCACCTGGAGGTGCTGAGGTCTGCCACCTGTATTTGGGCTGCCAGGCTTGACCAACCTGCCACCCCCACACCTACTCCAGGTGAACCAGTTGCTGGAGTTTGCCTCCATAGATGCGGCAGGCAACCTGGACAACAAGGTGCTGAGCTACGTGTGCACCTGTGGGTAGGAGTGAGCCAGGCCAAGCTGCCTAGCTCAATAAACATGGACCCATGACCCACCTATGTATGTCCCTTCCACAGGGACCCTGGCACCCGCTCACCCACCTCTCCAACCTACCCAGAACCCCCCCCCCCTTGCAAGCACCACCCGCACTGTCCTGTACTGGTCACCTGGGTCGACTGGGTCCAGGTCTATGCAGCAGGGCTCTTCAGGTTGCAGCCCCAGTCCACCTGGGGTCCCAGGGACATCCTGCCTCGCCCAAGGTGTCCAGGACTTGAGCCAGTCCCTCCTCTCAGATCATGGGCTGTACACCAAGGTGGCCAGGCGCCCTCGCCCACCTCCCCTCATACGTGTCCCTGGTCACAGTCCCTGAGAATCCGGGGGTCTTCCAGTGGAATGGGCAGGAGCTTCCTGGGGAGCTTTGGGGGGTAGCTTTGGGGTGGGATTTGGCATCCTGGGTGGAGGGAGCCCTCCAGACTCAGCCTGTAGGCGCCGATATGGGGTATGGAAGAAGAGCACCAAGACGCAGGTGAAGAGGGTGCACAGGCCAGCCATCAGCAGCAGGGAAACTGGGGACACAAACACAGCTCTGTCCTTGGCAGTCACATTCCCCTGACAGTGGAGTCTGGGTGGTCTCAATGATGGAATCCCTGGCAGTTCCAAGTCAGTTGTATGCTCCAACAGTGGTGACCACAGGGACATCTAGGACACAGCCTCACTCCCGGGCCCAACATCTGGGGTGTGTTCAGCCCCAGAACCCCAGATGTGGGTGTGCAGTGCCCAACTATCCTCTCTGTCTCTGTGTCTCTGTCTCTTATCCCATCTCTGTCTCCTTTCCTCCTTTTCCCTCTCAGAGCTCTGGTCTCTCTCTCTCTCTCTCTCTCTCTCTCTCTCTCTCTCTCTCTCTCTCTTTTCCAGGTATTAAAATATGTTCTAAGGCTGTGTTTTTGCCCACATCTTCAGCTAACCGGCTGAGCCCAGAGGTCTTTGAGCCCACCAGGCATCCACCCACCAAAGAGAGGGAAAGGTAGCAAAACATGGGGGGAATCTTCCTAGGTTGGACCAGAGCAGTCCTCCTTATCTCTTTGCTGTGGCTCTGTGGGGTCCTGGGCCATAGGATGATGGACACTTACCTGTCCAGTCTAATGAGTCTTCACCATGCTGGCACGTGGAGAAGGACAGATCTGTGCGCTGCACAGTCAGTGCTGTCAGCAGCACCATGATAAGCACACCCTCAGCCTGCCTGGATACATATGGCCCTCAGTCCAGGCACTACCCAAGCTCCAGAGCAGGATGCTATGCTCAGGATGGGTACACAGCCTAAAGAGGGAAAGGGGAGGGACACTCACCCCAGTACAAAGACCAGGCCTGTAGCGGCTCCCTCACCCACAGGGAAGGAGCACTCGATAGCCAGCTCCATGGCCACAGGTGCCACTGCAAAGCCAAAGAGTCCAAATAGGGAGCAGATGACAGCTAGCACAATGGCCTGTCCCTGCAGCTGGGCCACCTGAAGAGACAGGGTAGGCACCAGATGAGATGCCCTGCAGGCAGAGACCAGACCACTCCCCTTCCAGCCCATTCCACTTCTACCCTTCAGGGTGGTCTCAGTTCCAGGGACTCTCACCAAAGAAAAGGCCACGCAGGCCAAGGAGGCCAAGCAGAGGCCTATCTTGATGGCCTCGGTGAAATGTTTGGTCTGATCCACATACAGGCCAAGAATCAGTGCCCCTATGATCCCACACACAATGAAGAGAGCCCCACAGAGGCCTGAAAACTCCTGGAGGAGAGAGAAAAGGCTACACATATCATAGGGCAGGGGGCAAGCTCATTGGTGCAGGGCCCAAGGGCAGGAACCCTGTTGCCTACTGAAGGGAAGGCTGGACCCTGGGGCCAGTGTGCCCCAAACCACACATAGAAAGCTAGAGAGAAGAGGGCAGACATATGGAGGCCAGGAACAAGGCACATGTGAGTGACCACCACCTCCATGGTCTCCATTAGGCATGGACACTGAACTGGGACAAGGGGCAATCCCATCGGAGAGATTCCCTTCCAGGCAGACCTGGTACTCACACTAGAGTACCCCCTGGCACAGAGAATCTGCTCCAGGAGGGCTGAGAAGCTGGAGAAGACCCCGATGCCGCCCCCAAAGCACATGGCGAGGATGACATAGGCCTTGTTCCGCAGGAGCTAGAGGAAAGGCACCACTCAGTCCAGGACCCAGGGCTTCTAGCTAGAGCCCTTCCCCACCCAACTAGGGCTAAGCACCCACCAGCCAGAGCCCAGGGAGGAACTTCTCTGAGGTGGAGTTGGCTGCCCCAGCAGAGGGTGGGGTGGGAGGCACACTCTCCCAGAGGCAAGTAGTGGCCAGCAGGCAGGCAAGACCAGCAGGGATGATGTAGACGCCAAGCTGGGGAGAGGGGGTGAGGTCATAGAGGCCACAAGGACACATACACCCCTGTGTACCTCAGCCCTGCTCTGCCCTCTGTGGTGGCACGCTGCCTTCCTTCATGGACCCCAGGGACATGGTGGGCAGTGCCACCCCACCCTCACCTGCACCAAAGGGCTGCATACAGAGGCCTGGCTTTCAGCCCAACTCACCCAACATATGGACACGTGCACTCCCACATAAGTAAGCAGGTCATGCTAACATACCCAGCTATGTCATACAGATGTACATGCCATAACCTGTATGTGCACCATACCTATGCACACAGTACATGTGTGTACAAGCCACATATATGTACATACAACATGAACATACAGCACACAGGTACCCACACCACATGAACATGTTTAGGCACACACAGCAAGGCACAACTCATGTGCACCTCATGATCTCCCTCACCATCAAGGGGATGTCCTCTCCCTTCTTCACTAGGGCAGGTGACAGCAGGTTGGCCACAAGGATGCCCAGAGGGTTCGCTGGATGGACACATGGGCAAAGAAATCTGTCAGCCCAGCTGTGGCCAGCACTTATCTCCAGCCCCCAGGGACACCTTTCTGGCTCTAGTGCCTTGGCCTTTGCCATAGAGCTCCAGGTAGAGGTCCCAAGTTGGCCAGGATGGCAAAGGCTTCCCCTTAAGACTCACACATGGTGGCCATCATGTTGGCCGTGGCTCTCTGGTGCTCTGGGAACCACAAGGCAGCCAGTTTGGCCGGAGAGAAGATGACCAAGGTCTGGGCCAGAGCACAGAGGCTCTGGCCAGCCATGAAGAAGGCAAATGGGCTAGGGATCCCAACAGCGACGCAGGGCAGGGCACGAAGTGCACTCCCTAAGAAGTTCAGCCACGCCCCCAGGATGGTCTGCAGGGACAGTCCAAAGGCTGCTGCCCACTCTAGACCACAAGGGACTTCAATGTCCAGCCACCCGACTGCCCGCCAGCTCTGCTGGGAGTCTGGCCAATGGGACTGGTAGACCCTGGTCTGCGCAGGAGGCCATGGGAGCATACCCAAACGCAGGGGCCCACCAGTCCCAGAGCAGGCCAGGGGTAGGATGTGACTTACTGCTGCCCGGAGCCCCATAGAGTCCAGGACCCAGATAGCTGCTATGCCACCAGGGATGGCCACCACGAAGTAGATGAGTGACAGCCAGTTGACCTGGTCCATGGATAAGAGGAAGTGCTGGGCGATGGCATCTGCCACAGGTGCAAAGCTGAGCCACAGCTGTGGAGACAGTCAGGAGTCATCCAGGGCCACATTCCACCACCAGCTTTGCCCTGCTGCCTGATTTAGTCAGCCTGAGGGCACAGGGTGGGTAGTCCTATGAGAGCTGTGGGGATCCTGCCTAGGCCAGGCATGACCTCTGGGTCTTTTTTCTAGAGACCCACCTTCACACCATCACTCCTAGGAGGGCACTGGGCAGAGGACCAGCCTAGGTGCAGACCCAGAGGCTGATGACCCCACAAGGCCAAACCTGACCCTCCAAGAAAACCATGAGGGCCATCTGCAGGGCATCCAGGGAGGACAAGGACAAGAGGCGTGGGAGTCCTGGGTGTTAGTGAGGCAGTTGGCAGTATTGTCTAGAAGGCCAAGGTGGGGGTCTATCAGGGCAGGGAAAGAGCCAAAGGGACAGCAGAGCTCAGGGATATTGGAGTTCAGTGGCACCTCTGTCTTGCCTCATGATGAACAGCTGGGCTATGAGCTGGCCCACACTCAGAAGACCTAAGTTGGGCAGGTGAGGCCTCTTAGACAGGGGATAGTCCCTAGCCTCAGGCTGGATCTTGTACCAGGTGCAACCTGTAGTGCTTACCAAGCAGCAGAGGGTGGGGAAGCCAAGAGGAAGAGCTACCCAGCATTGGGAAAGAGACTGTGGGTGCGCAGGACGGGTGTCTCAGAAGTGTGTCAGAAATCAGTTCCTCATCCAAACCACTCCATACATGCCTCAAAGACAGAGCAACAACATCAGGCTTCCCAGAACTTTACGAGGCAGGGAGGTTGGGCAATGGCTACATTCTCTTCCTTTCTCCTCAGACTTCTCCCAGTCTAAGCAGCTCCTGTGCAGGCCCAGCCCAGCAGACAGGAGGCATGGTATGTACACACAGCCCATCCCTCCAAACCAAACCCAACCAGCCTTCATCAGCCTCCCAGAGCTCTGTCCTTGTCCCTTTGGAGCCTTGGACCAGGGATGGGCAGGTCAGTGTTGTGTCTAAAAGTTGCAGGAAACAAAGGTGTAGAAGACAGACATGCCTGCTGCAAGCACCCAGCATTGTCCAGCATATCCCCTCTTGTGAGTAGTCTCCCTGCCTCACCCAAGTCATTCTCTCAGAGACTAGTTACAGCTGCAGGTGAGAAAATGGGGGCTGAGAGAACCCATTGCCCACAACAGGGACCCAGGTTGGGATCACCACGGTTCTTGGCATCAGAGCTAGGCTTCTGTGAGCTCCATAATGACAGCAGAACCAACCCAAGTTCCCAGGAACTTCCCAGAAACCAGGAAGACCCAGCCTCAGGTGACCCACCCAAAGCTAGTTACACCCCCATGCAGGGCCCAGAGCCAAGCCAAGTCCTGGTTCATCCCTGACCGCTCCAGGAGTCACTGCAGCACCAGGCCCCAGGCCCAACTCAGGGCTGAGTTCCCACACCCAGCCTGCAAGAGGGAGAATAGGGCCTGGATGCCCCATAGGCCTTCACACATGGGCCAAGCCTGGACTCCAGCCCCTGGCCTCAGTTTCCTGGCCATCCTACCTGCCTGCCTGAGCTGCAGTTCCCCTATCTGTGCTGGAGACTACACCTTCCTCATCCCTTGCAGGTTTCCGCACTCATGTAAAGAGATGAGAATGTGTGGGTGACTATAGGTTGGAAGCCCCTATTGCCTGGACCCCTGCAATTACTCTGAGTCTGAGAGGATGTAGAGGGGTGGCGAGTAGCAAGGGTGCCCCCCCCAAGGTGTGCTCAGGTGATGTGGTCCCTATCCAAGGAAATCTAGCCTGGTGCTGGGGCAACAGAATGGGTCCCGCAGGCTGGAGAACAAGGCCAAGCCAGGACAGGTCTTTCCCTTCCCCTACGGGCCCATACCGTGGCGTTGGAGCAGCTCAGTAGGCTGATGACCAACAGGAAGAGCCAGCGCCGCGCGTAGGTGCGAGGGGTCCCTGGCCCGCCCCTGGCGTCCTCGCCTGCCATCGGGCCGTCCCCGAGGTCTGCTGCAGTCCTCTGTCCGTCTCCAGGCGTCCCTGGCTCTTCCTCAGCGTGCCCCGCCGTGTCCTGCCGGTCTCTGCTGTCCTGCTCAGTCTCCGCGTTCCCAAGGTCCCCTGCTGTCCTTGTCCCGGCCCCCTCTGCCATGGCCAGTTCCCTAGGTCCCAGACCACCTCACGCCAGCCTCCTGACCTCCAGGCTTTCAGACTGTCCTTAAGGGTACAGGAAGAAGAGGGATAAGGTGATCGGCTCCGTCCCGCCCCCAAAGCAAGAGCCTGGTGACGCGCTGGTTAGTGGGTGGAGTCCGAGCCTTGGAGTGTCAGAGGCCAGGACTGAAGACCCTGCCATAGGCCCAAGGGTAATATCCCCTCCTGCAGGGGACACAGCTGCTCGGCTCGCGGGGATAGATGTGGGAAAAGGGGCCTGAAGCCACCCAGCCCTAGCTGAGTCTGCATTCTTGAAAGTCACAGGGAGAGGCCATTCTGGAATAGGAGGCTATCTTCAGTTTACAGACAGCCAGACCTGCTCAGGGGAGGAAGGAGCTGCATAGTGGTCCTGGGGAGGATGGAGTGCCTAGCCCAAGAGAGCAGGTAGCTCTGCATGCATATACACACACACACACAGCCAAGGTGCCATCTGGTTTCCTCTGCGAAAATGGGTGAGAGGTGGGTGTGGTAGCGGAGGGAGGTCTCCAACCCTTGGCCTGGCTGGCTCTCTGGTTGGGGGGAGGGGGGAGGCTGGAATGGGAGTTCCTCTAGCTCTTGCTACCCTGTAGTCTGGCCGTCTCCATCACCCTTGCCTTTTTCCCAAGTGTTCTAAGATGGGACACTTGTCAGACAAGCAACTGTGCAGCCCTAGGCTTCAGCATGTGTGCATAATCTTATGGGGCATTATGTGCCTGCAAGATGGAGTTGCCTGCTACAACCTCCTATGAGGACACCTCGAAGCCTTCTTCTCTGGCCTGGTGCTGTCTTTGCACTGGGACTGGGATGCTCCCAACCCCACCTGACAGATGGAAAGGGTCCACACTGTTTTCAGTATTGAGAGACCTAGCATATATGGGAGTCTGCCCCTCATCAGCTGCAGATAGGAGGTTTCAGAACTATCACCGCTGGACCAGGTGCACAGGGTTCACTGGGCTTCTGCCCCTACTCCCAGCTCTCACAAGTGGAACAGGAGATTTCAGCATGGCTGCAGAACATAAGACCAGCTCCCAACAATCAGTTGTGTTCCTGGAAACTGCACCAACATGGAACATTTGGAAGCCACAACTAAAGACAAAATACATTTAGTTACTTCAAAGAAATTAAAAACTTGGAAATAAACTCAGTATTTGTCTGCAGTACTTACCTAATACTAACAATGAACAAAACCATGGATGAGCTAAAGAAATGGACAGACATCCCATGTTCATGGATGACCAAAGTCAACACAGTAAAGTTGTCAGTTTTCCCTAACTCAACTTGCAGGGTTTTTTTGTTTCTTTTTGTAGTAGTACAGATTAGACCCAGGGCCTTATACTTTCTACGCAAGTGCTGTACAAGTAATCTACATTCCCAGCCCCTACTTTTATTGAAACTTTTTTTTAATTCTCCAACCTAACCTCAAACTTGTGCTCCTCCTGCCTCAGCCTCCTGAATACCTAAAATTAAAGGAATGCATGCCTTTAATGACTGACATGTAGGTTAAATGAAATTCTTATCAAAAGGTCCATGCATACTAGGCTGGGAAAAGATATTTATAAACCACATATTCAATTTATTCATGCTTTCTTCTCAAATCAAGCATGAAACTCATCTGATACATCAGTTGCAGGCTTGGGCTTTTATCTCTGAGAAATAAAAATTCATATTGACACAGAAACCTGTAGCCAAACCTGTGGTAACTTTATCTGTGATAATCAAAGGCTGGAAATCTCCCAGTGTCCTTTAGTAGGTGAATGGTTAAGCAAGCAGGACCTCAATAACAGGAAATATTACTCAGTATAAATGGCTATTAATACTTCCAAACACCTACATGCAACCCAGGCAATTGCACAGGATTGAAAGAAACAGCTCGGTCCAGGGATACTGTGTGGCTCTACTTGGTATGGCTGAATGTGGTTTAAAACATGTTCTTGTCTTCCTGGGGGCTCATGTGCTGGAAACTGGGTCCCCAGGGGCTGGTGTTGAGGTGGATGGAACATTCAAGGGTGGAGCCTGGAGGAGTCTTTAGATCATTTGGGGTGCTGCCCTAGGAAGCAATCATTGTAGTTCTTTAGCTCTCGTGGGACCCCAAGTTAGTTCTCAGAAGAGACTGTTTACTAAACAAAAAAGAGAGAGAAAGCCTGGTCCCTGCCCTTGCCCCAGCTTCCTGCCTTTAGATGATTTCTATTCTCTGCATGCCTGGCTATCAGAGTATCACCCACCATGACATCATCACAGGGCTAAGCTGATATGAGCACCAGGCCCCTGAATATCCAAAACCATGAGCTGTATTGGTCTCTGTTTTTGCAAAGTTATCTCGCCACAGGGACTTCATCATAGTAACTGGAAATGGAATAGCACACCATTTGTGTCACCATTTTGGGAAAGTAAACCTTGAGAACTGAAGAAGAGTCTGGGGATATAGCTCAGTGGCATAAGCTCCTGCCTGGCAAGTGCAAGATCCTGAGTTCGATTCCTAGTACCACACACACACACAGGTCTGGAGAAGAGAGTAGTGGTTGCTAGGGTTCAGGGTCTGGGCAGGCCAGGAACACCTGTAGTGATGTCCTGCCCCTTTACCATGGACATGGACACATAGCTGAAGTATAAGGCCAAGTGCCCGCACACACACCAAGCCTGAGGTAAACAGGGTGAGTGGGCAGGTTGCATCAATGTCATCTCATGCTGTGGAGTTGGCAAGATGTCACCTTGCAGGCTGACAGAAGGAGCAGGACCTCACTGTGCTGTTTCTTATATCTTTGTGTGAATTCATGATTATCTCAGTGTAAGAGATATAAGATTAAGAAATCCCACAGAATGGGAACATCACTCATTCAATGTGGCAGTTTTATTTAAATTTCAAGAAGTATCTCCAATATAAGTCTGAGCTGCTAGTCTTGAATTCAGATCTAGAAACACAGGCAGGTGCACACACCACCTACAACTCTAGCACCTGGCACACCTTTGGAAGGCCCAGTCTCCAGGTGTCCTCTGAGGACAACACAAGCCACCTGGCATCTTTTGGAAAATGACCTTCAGAGGCTTGGTCACTTACATCTGGCCAGTTTTCTGGCTACACCTGTGTTTCGGTGTCTTCATCTCCTTTTCTAAAAATCAAATGTGGTCTCTGTCAACACAAATTAACATGAGTCCCCCTGTGTTCTGTTCAATGCCAGAAAGTCAGGGGTGGAGGACAAGGCTACCGTCCTGTGGAACGACAGGAATGATAACCTCCTATGAGGTGACAGTCAGGGGCCCATCCTGTTTATTTGCTTGGCTTTTATCTGCCAAGGCTGTGAGGGCAGGCACCCCTCCACCCAGAATGTCTGGATCAAGAACTGGCTGGCACCAGGTCCTAGGTAAGAACCGGGTCCTAGGTAAAGGAGTAGGTGGAAGTCTTTTTGCCTTGGCCCACTCTATGCCAGGCCCGCCAGGCAAGCTCCTCTCATATGCCCACACTCCACATATGCCTGCTGATCCTCCCGGGATGTCTGGCTCTTGCAGCAAGACATACCTCTCCCCTCATGTCATGGGATAACACACCTCTCTTCCTCTGGATTAGCTGGTAAAACCCCCCATACAACACCTCGCAGAACAAGCTAAGTCAGCACAGGATGATCCAGACTCCAAAAACAGGAAGTGGCTCTATTCGCAAGAATATGGAAGGGACTGAGTGAAGGCAGAGTACTCACAAACCTGTGGCTATATCCTTATGTGTCAAGGGAGGGGGTCACTGCCACCCATGGTCCAGTAGCCCAAGTGGAGTAGGCTCTGGTGCCCTCATCATCCCCTTCTGTCCAGCAAAGGGGCTCATGTGAACCCCAAAGCTGAGGCAACAAATATCTGTAATCAGTTTGCTGCCCCCACCAAGGACTCCATAGGTCCCTCTGTCCCTGCCCTCAAAGCTGGGCATCTCAGAAAGGGGTTGAAGGGGCCAGTTTCCTCATTCGTGTGTCTGTGGTGTGAGATGGGCAACTTTTTTTGTGTATCTGTCGTGAGGTAGGATGGTGTGTGTGTGTCTAATTTTTTGTGTAGAGTTTGACACTCTTTTGTGTCAGGTATGTGTCTGGAATGAGACTGGTATCTGGTGTATGTTCTTGCATTGTTAGGCTATGAGTTTTGTGTGCAGCTTAAAATGATGCTTAATTTTTTGTGTATGTGGTGTAGGGTGGGAGATCAGTGTCTGTCTTGTGTATATATGTGGTGTGCAATGGTTTTCTATTTTTTGTCTGTCTGGGACAAAACAGGAATCTCATTTTTGGTGACTGTGCAGTTGTAACAGGTTTGTACTGTTTGTGTGTGTGTGCATGTGTGTGGTGTAAAGTGGGATCAGAGCTTGGAAGGTCCTGGGAATGTGCTCTCTCATGACTGTATGAACCTATAACTGCTTTGTGCATGTACACAAACATAAGACACAAGACCTCTGGACCAAGCAGCAGCCAGCCTCGTGCTGTCCCTCACCCATCTCACAGATACAGGTGGTCCCAACACATGTATATTAGTATCTGTTTATTGCCAAATGTTTCACTTCATGGATATACCACATTTTATTTATCAGTTGATAGACATTTGGGTGTTTCTACATTGGGACTGCTGAGTACTGCTACTCTGACTGCTACATATCTGATTCCATATAGATGACTGTCTTTATTTCCTGGCTCTGTGCCAAGGAGTGGGATTGTAGACTTATATGTTAACTTCACATTTCACCTTTAGAGGAAATGAGAACTGTTCAAACCAGTTCTATATCCCAACAACAACTTGTAAGTCCCAGTTTCTCTGCATTCTTACCAAAACTCATTTTTGCCTCTTTTTAATTAAAGCCATCCTAGTGGGTACAAAGTGGTGTCTTGCGGTTCTGATGTAGACCTCCCTAGTGACTAATGACGTTACCATCTTTTTATGTGCTCACTGGCCATTTATGTATCTTCTTTGAAAAATTATCTATTCAGATCTTTGTTCATGTTAATTGCAAATTCATTTTTTCATTGTTTAAAAAAATTTTGTTTTGCTTTGTTTCGAGACAGGGTCTCACTACATAGCCCAAGCTGGCCTTGAACTCACTTTGTAGTCCAGGCTAGGCTCAAACTTGCAGTGATCCTCCTGCCTCAGTCCTGGCCCATCTTTTCATTGTTGAGTCATGATCCTAGCACTCTGGGGAACTAAGTGGTCTACTTAGTGACTTTGCAAGATCCTGTCTCAAATTTTTTAAAGAAAGGGCTGGGATGTAGCTTGATGTAAAGGCCCTGGGCTCAATCCCCAGTACCAATGGAAAATAAAGGGGCAAAAAATCACAAGTGCGAGACCCACCTGGGCAATGTATTGAGATCCTGTCTCAGTAATTTAAAAAATAAATATGAAGGCCTAGAGATATAGATTAGCAGTAGAATGGTGGTGCCTACCACATGCGAGGCCTTAGGTTCCATCCCCAGTAGCTTGCTACTAAGTAAACGCCTTATACCCCAAAATCCCCCATAATCTGTATTTCCCCTTTGCTCATAGTGTCTTTTGAAACAGGAAAATTTATAATTTTGACAAACCTAATTTATTTGTTTTCACTGGTTACTTAAGCCTTTGGCGTTAAGTCAAAGAAACTGTTGCATATTCCAGGGTCAAGATATTATGAGGGGCTGGGGACACAGCTCAGGGACACAAGATCCTAAGTTTGATTCCTGGTTTAAAAAAAAAAGATTTATGACTATGTTTATTCTTCTAATACAGAAATGTTTCCATAATTTTATCTTCTACATTTAGGTCTTTGATCCATTTTATTTAACTTTTGTAGGTAGTAGATATTAGGAGTTTCATTCTTTTGTACAGGAATATTAGGTTTTCCCAGTAACATTTGTTGAAAAGCAATATTTTTCTCCATTGAATTGTGTTAGCATCCTTGAAAAATCCACTGGCTGTGGATGCGGGGTTTATTCTGCTCTGTCAATCCATGTATCCATCTTTATGACAATGCCACACCACTCTAACTAACCCTGTAGCTGTGCACTAAGTTTTGAAATCAGGAAGTAAGGCTCTGCCAATTTTGTTCTTCGTTTTAAGACCATTTGACTATCTGGGTTCCTTGAACTGCCATATGAACTTTAGCATCAAATTTCAATTTATTGTCAGTTTCTACAAAGAAGCTAGTTGACCTTTGGTATGGACTGTGCTCAATGATTATTTTGGGGCATACTGGACCTTAAACACAATGTCTCCCCCGTCTATGCACATAAGAAGTCTTTCTATTTATTTAGGTCCACACTAGTTTGGTTTTGGAATATATTTTAACTTTTATACATAAATTTGCCTTTTAAAATTAATAGACTTTATTTTGAGCAATTTTAGGTTCACAGAAAAATTAATCAGAGTAGAATTCTCACATACTGCCAATCTCCAGCCTCTACTCACATTTCTGCTATCATTTACATTTGGTACCAGTGTAGAGCATTTGCTTCAATTGAACTGATATTGATACACTGTTACTAAATAAAATCCCCAGGTCTTTGGAGGAGGGGTTAAGACAGGGTCTCATTATGTTGCTCAGGCCGACCTAAAACTTGGACTGGTCCTTCTACCATAGCCTCCCAGGTGCTGGGATTACAGGTATGCATCACTGTGCTGCCTAAAATCCCTGATTGTTGTAGGATGCACTTGTCTGGGTTAGTTAGACCCTAGGGAAGGCACCAGCCCTCCTTCTACTTCCTTTTCAACCTATTATCTCCTTTGCATACCTTTATTGTCTTTTTTTTTTTTCTTTTTGTACCAGGGATCAAATTCACCGCTACAGGCTTGCAAGGCAGGCGCTTATGCCACTGAGCTAAATCCCCAGTCCCTTGCCCTAGGTTTTTGCTTACAACCCAGGATGCCTGTTCCCATGTTTTGCATTTCCCACAGATGGATATGAAACCTAACCATGGTCTGCAGGATGCGGGGTGCAGAGCATGCAGCTAGGACTCAAATCAGGACTTTCTTTGGGAGAGGATTTGAGGTGAGAAAGGGGAAAGAGGGCAAGAGGGAGAAGCAGCTTGGCTACTCCTGCAGGAAGTTTTGCCTATAGCTCCCCTCTGCCTTGCCAGATATGTGGCAGGAGGCAGTTGGGGCAGATCTTGGCTCCCAGGGACACCAGGGCAGAAAGACGTCTGAGCCTCTGTGCATTTGGTTCCAGGTTGAGTTTCTGGCAAGACTTCCTGAGGGTGCTGATGGTGTTTGCTTCCATAAGAGCCACAGAGACAACCACATGTCCCTGGTGGGCACCACCCACAGCCATTACTTCATGTGGCTACTTTAACTCCATTATTTCTTGTTCACTTAATGCTGGATCATTTATGGAGAGAAACCTTCACCTGCTCAGCATGGAGGCAGAGTCTGTATGAGAATATAAACAATTGACAGCCTCCACTCTCCAACAGTTTTCCTTGAGGAGCTGGTTCTTCCAAGTTCTACAACACCCGCTGACTGGTTTTTTTTGGGGGGGGGTACTGGGAATCGAACTCACGACCTCATGCTTGCCAAGCAGCTGCTTATACCACTGAGCTAAATACCCAGCCCCCCAAAAAAACATGGAACGCTTCATGAATTTGCGTGTCATCCTTGGGCAAGGGCCATGCTAATCTTCTCTGCATCATTCCAATTTTACTATATGTGCTGCTGAAGCAAACACTGGGTTTTTTTTTTTTTTTTTAAACTGCACTGCACATTTGTATTTGCCCCTGTGGATGTGTTTTGTTCTATGCTATTCCCATCCTTGTGACAGGCGTGCCTGTCTTTCTGGCAAGCCTTTGAGGAGGTATCTATCTTTTCATCTGATCCTCCCAGCTCTAGAGGGCCCAGCACATGGTCTGCAACCCCTAACATTGTGTTACCCTGGTCCTGTTTCTCAGACATGTGGGTAACCAGCCTCTCCCCACAGGCCATGCTCCTCTTCCTGACCAGGGATACTACTGCCTACTTCCCTGCACATACTCACTGTCTGAATCTCAGCAGACCCTCCTTCAAGACAGAGCTAAGTTATCTGGAAATACTCTGATCCCTTCCAGCCCTCCTGACTGTATCTGACTGAACAGAGCAGTCTAGTTTACTATCCACTGCTAGAAGCATGCTGACTGCCAGTGGGCCATGAGGGCTTCCTGGGTCAGTGGGCACACAAGGACATTGTTTCAGTTACTTTTATCTCTTTACTGGGACAAAATATCTGATGCCCCAAAAAAAAGGAAGGAAAGGTTTACTTAGCTTATAGTTTTTGGAGGTTTCTCAGCTGGCTCCCAGGCAGGGTGGTGAGGTTAAGAGGCAGCTGTTAATGACAGCAATAAATGACAAAAGCAAAAAAGGTCAAAAGGGAAAGGCATCCCTCAGTCCCTGTTTATACTGTGTATGGCTACCCACCCCTAGGTGGGAATAGCACTCACACTGCCAATCCCAGCACTAGACAATGAACCAAACACAAACTCTAGATTCAGCCACCTCTATGACATGAGCCTTTGGGGAGACATTTAAGTGTATGTTTTACCATTGTTTTTTGTTTTGCTTTGATTTTTGTACCGGGAATCAAACTCAAGGCCTCATGCTTGCCAGGGAGGCACTGCGCCACTGAGCTAGATCTCCAGCCCTGAGAGGACATTTAAACACAAACCATAACATGCCACCCCTGGCCCCCAAAGACTCATGTACATCCCTTACATAGAAGACATTTAATCTATCTCTTAAGAGTTGCCAATGTCCTAACAGTTTCAGCATTGCTGAAAAGTTCAAGTCCCAAGTTTCCTCCAAGATCTAAGCAAACTCTTAGTTGTAACCTCCTGTACAAAAAAAAAAAACAAAGTTAAATACTTCCAACATACAATGGTACAAGACAAACATTAACATTTAAAAAGCTACGAACTGGGGGATATAAAGGATTAGAACCAAAACAAAATCCATCAAGGCAAACATTAAATCCTGGAGTTTCATACTCAGCATCTGAAGCAATCTGGTTGTGAGCTCCAAAAGGTTGAGTGACTCCACTTCTGGCGGTTGTAGCTCCCATGGCTTTTCTCTTGGGCTGGCTTTACTCCCTCCTTGCAGGTTTCCTCAGATGATCCATGTTCTTAGCTTTTCCATACTTTTGGGTTTTCCATTGTACCTTTGGCTTTACATTCACAGTTCCACACACTACCTTGACAGGGGCACACTGCCTGCCTGGCCTCCCAGGCCCTCTGAAATCAGGGTGAAAGCCTTTTAAGCCTCAGAACTAATACATTTTGCATGTGCTTAAAACCAGCACCATGTGAATGCTGCCAAGATCTGCTACCAGCTGGAGCAGTAGCCAGGTTTTCCTCTCTTGGCTGTAGGGAGTAGAGTGCCAGGATCACTGGGCACTCTGAACCTGATTCTGAGGAACAAATTCTCTATGCTGCCTCCATTCTGGAACTTGGTGCAGCCACTGACATTTTGGAACCTCATGTGGCTGCTGCCACCACCATTCTAGAACATGGCACTCTGCAGCTTTCTCTTCAAAGCAAAATCTTTCACTTTTGCAGTTTTGAGGCTACAAAGCATGGGGACCTACTGCTGCTTGCAGTCCAGCTTTACTGGAGGTTTGTTTTGTTTTGCCTTGTTTTTTTGGTACTGAGGATCAAACTCATGACCTAGTGCTTGGCAAGCAGAGGCTTATGCTGCTGAGCTAAATCCCCATTCCTTTATGGGAGTTTTTTCCTCGACCAAACTCACATTTCAAATCATCCTGCTGGACTCTTTGCTCCTGATTCACAACATAAATCTGGCTAAAAGCCCCCAACAATAGCCATGCCACTACCTCAACATTAGACTGCCTTGAAATTTCTTGTCAGATTAGTTGGTCCACCACCCTTAATCTCAGTCTCAGGCCAAGTCTCTGGACATGAGCAAAATGCAGACAAACTTTCTGCCAAGCCATAATACACAGTTGTGGAGTCCAACTACCAATGCAGTACTTTCCAGCAGAAATCTCCAGAGCCTGGTCTTTATTGGCAGGCTTTCTTTCTTTTCTTTTTTTTTCTTTTTCATTTTTATCGGTACCAGGGATCAAACTCATGACCACCTGCTTGCAAGGCAAGCGCTTATGCCGCTGAGCTAAATCCCCAGCCCCTATTGGCAGGCTTTCTATCAGCCTTCTGGTCTTCTGAGCTCTGACCAGAATCTCCCATACAGAACAGCCTAAGGTGTTCCAGTGTTACTCCTTCAGGGAACATCTCTAAACCTTTCAAAAATTCTTCCCACAAGCCATTCCCAAAGGCTCTGAATCACATGTCAGGTACAGTCACAGCAACAACCCCACTCTTGGTACCAAATTCTGTCTTAGTTACTGTTCTCTCATTGCGGAGACAAAATACCTGATCTCCAAAATGAAGGAAGGTAAGGTTTATTAAACTTACAGTTTTTGGAGGTTTCACTCCATACTCAGCTGGCTCCCAGGCAAGGTGGTGAGGCTAAGGGGCAGCTGTTCATGCCAGCAACAAACCAGAACAAAAAGAGGAAAAGGGAAAGGCACACCTCAGTCCCTCCCTTATATTGTACCTGGCTACCTACCCCTGGGTGAGTGCAGCACTTGTACTGCCAATCCCAGCACTAGACAACAAACCAATCACAAATACTAGATTCAGCTACCTCCACAACTGCCCCTTTGGGGGGGGCACTTAAACACAAATCATAACAGACACCCTACCTTGGCTCCAGCTGTGTGTCCCTTAGGGCCCTATCTCATCCCTCTCTCAGGGGTCAAGGCCTTCATTGCCTGATGTCCCATCTGAAAAATCATGATTTCTTTGTTTGTTGTAGACAAGGTCTTGCTATGTAGGCCAAGCTATCCTCAAACTCATGGTGATTCTTCTGCCTTAGTGTCCCAAGTACTACAAATCATGATTTGATCTGCTTTGTCCAGTGTCTCAGTTGCTTGAGAGGGTATAACTCAGTTTTCTTGTCATTGGGACAAAATACCTGACACCCACAATTTAAAGGGAAGGTTTCAGAGGCCACAGTCCATGGTTGTTGATTCCAAGGCAGAAACTGCACAGCAAGGAGAAGATACTCAATACATCATAGCCAGGAAGCAGACAGGGAGAGGAGCTGGGGACAAGGTCATACCCCACCCATAGCAACTCACCTCCTCTGACCAGACCAGTACAGTGCCCCCATGATCCAATCTTCAAAAGTTTCATTTTTGAACACTTGAGACTTCTAAGGGACATTTTAGATCAAAACTGTAACAGGGTGACAAGGACCTTGTGTAGATGTGTTAATTACGTGGTAAGCCTGGAGCTTGGCCTCCACCCGGCTCTGTAATTAGTGCTGTCACCTGAGTTTTGTTTTCCTGTTTGCCACTCTTGTGTTTCACAGGAGGACTTGATTGAAAATTCCTGCTTCTGCCACCATCTTCCCCAAATCCACAGGATTTTCAATATAGGCAAATGGACAGCATATTCAATATTGTCCTTGGCAGACACAGCACCTGGCAAACCCTCACCCACCCCACTTCTGGGCTATGTCCTGCTGAAAATCACTTTAAAAAGTGTGGTGGCATCTCTTCCAAGTGTAGGTGCCCAAGATGTGGGGGTTTTATCACTTATATAACTGATCACACCTAGGGGGTTACATGAACAGTTTTTTTATTATAAATTATGCTGCAGTTAATGGTCTTGTGCCTGCATTGTTTTGTTTTATTTGGTTTTTGGTGCAGGGGATTGAACTTACAATCTTGCACTTGTCAGGCAGGTGCTATGTGTTTTGTATTTTTGCCAGTGCACGTTTGGGACACATCCTAGTTGAAAACTGCTGCTGGGCCAAAGGCTCAGTGCCTGTGTCACTTGCTGGATACTGCCCAGCTCCCTCCACTCCCAAAAGCAACTGAGTTCCGTCTCCTGACAGTCTCGCCAGTATGGCAACAGTCCAGAACTAGGTTTTCACAAGCATGTAAGGCCAGGAGAGCACTGAGGCACACTGTGGGGGCAGGGAGCAGCTGGGCCAATGCCCAGAGGGGCAATCCCTGCTAAGTCAATGAGCACCCAGGTGAGAGTTTGGGGCAAGGAGTGCAGCCTGAGGGGCAGGGTTTTATAGGAGTACAGCTAGCCTGAGGGGCAAGGTTTTATAGGAGTCACTATTCTATAGTGAAAATGGTTTTGGGGGCTGTGTGGGTGAGCTCTGTTGCATCAGTTCTTGGCCACGGTGGAAGTAGGGCTGGAGAGAAGGTGCATCCCAGAGACCTATCCTTAGAGCTAGCTGGTAGAGTTGATGGCCTCCAGGAAAAGCCAGGAGTTGCTATATGGAGTGGAATTCTCTAACCACATCCCAGCAGAAGGACAAGTTCTAACCTCGTTGGTTCCAAGCAAGCCTCATAAAAGAGCTGCTGGGCTGCCGTAGAGGCAGCTGCTCTCTTGGCCCAGGGCCCTCTTGCCAAGCAGCCTTCTGTCCTTGGTAGTCTCCCTCTAGCGGGCCACCCATCAGCATTACCATCAGAGCTCACAGAAAAGAGCAGCCTCTTGGCCCCGCAACAAAGCCACAGAGCCACAGCTGGTTGCCTGCGTTGGCACCCTAATGCTTTCAAACATCTCTTGTACATCTGCACTTTCTGCCTTGCTCCCTTGAGCCCACTACCCACCGTGAATCCACTGTGCATTCTCATTCCCCTGTCCCTAGGCCATGGCTAAGGACTATGATCCCCTGCTGAAGAACGGCTGCTCCTGGACTCCAGAGTTCACGTCAGCACCTCTGGGGTCACTTTAACGACCATCATTTCCAGATGTTACAATCATAGACGCTTCACTGAGCCTCACCCTCACGGGATTCCAGCTCCTGGGTCTCACATAGCTGTCCCGCGGCGCCAGCGAACCCTCCTTGGCCTCGGCCCCCCGTGGAGACCCAGACCAGCTCACCACTGTCTCCAAGGCCAACACGCATTTTTCCCTGTTGTCCCTCATGCGGCATGGATGTCCGGGTCGGGGCTCACAGCTTGAGCGTGCATCTGCACCTGTCTGCCCGCGATGCTCAGCACACTTCTCAGGTTCTCGAGATGAAGAGAATGCAAGTAGCTAGTGGCTTCCGTTCAGGAACCTCTCCCAGGGCCAGCCCCCCGTGGCCCAAGGCAAAGGCCCCCAAGTCTGGGGGTGCAGCGCCAACAAGTTCGCTGGCACGAGGCAGTTCCCTGGTGACCACGCCCGGCCCCGAGCCTGCGGGTTCCGCCTTGTTCTAGATCACGCCCCTTTTGTCCCGGCCTTACTCTTGTAACCACGCCTCCGGACCTCGCCCCGCCCACTGCGCCCCACCAACTCCATCTTTTCAGTGGCGAGCAGCCCCCATGCGCCTGCGTCCTCTGGCCCCACCCTGACCCCGCCCTCCTCAGGCTCCGCCCCTTTCCGACCGCCGGGTGGGAGCCGTGCTGCATATTGCGCATGCTCCAACCGCGGCGCCCCCGACACGGCGCTCGGCTCAGCTCGGGCATTTCCGCCTCTTTGTTTTAAACTCCGGACGGCTTTTTTCTCCTCCTCTTGGGGGGGACCGGGAGGGAGCGGCGCCCCCTCCCCCTCCCGGCGAGCCCCCGTGTGCGCCCGCTCGCCCGCCGCCCGAGACGCAGGTCAGTGAACCCGCCCCGCCCGGCCTGGTCCCGCGCGCCCGCTCCTCAGGCCGCGGCCTCGGCCCAGGTCCGGCGGAAAGCTATCAGCCCAGAGCCTCTCGGCGGGCTGGCGGGGAGGCGGGACCCCGGGAAGGAAGGACCCCGACGAGGCTGGAGCCCGACCTGGGGGCCACGGAGGCAGGATCCAGACCAGGAAGGACCCGGACCCGGGAACCCCGACCTGGCTGGACTCTGAGAAGGGCAGGACCCAGACAAGGCGAGACCCCCAACAAGGCTGGACCGGGACCAAGCAGGATCCTGGACCAGGGAGGACCCTGGACTTGGCTGGTTCTCGACCAGGCTGGACTCCAAACTACTCTGGATCCTAGACCTGGCAGGACCTTGACCAGGGCTGAAGTGGGATCCCGGAGTACTTTTGACTAGGCTGGAATTCAGGAGAGCAGGACTTTGGAAGGGCAAAAACCTCGGGCCAGGCAGGACCCCAGGAAGGGCAGAACCCAGGAGCAGGCAGGAGCTGTGGAGGGCACTCACCAAGGAAGGTCAGTCCCTGAGACTGGTCAGGGCCCACGCAGCACTGGTAACTGGGAACGACAGGTCCATGGGGGAGGGTCAGGCCCCTGGGCCCTTGGGAAGTGTCATCAAGCAGAGCTGGACCTGAGGACTCGTTAGGTTCCAGAGAATGCAAGGACCTGAAGGGGTCCAAGTCAGGATAGGTCACAGAAGGGACAGGATGGCAGGACACAGGGAGGGCTGGGACCCTGGGACAGGGCTGTGGAGAGGTTGATACTGTGAAACAAGCCCTCTGGGAGAAGCAGAACCTAGTCCTAACACAATCCTCTGAGCACTTTTGGGACCCTCAGGTCTTTTTATCCCTGGGAAACTGAGACTTTGAGGTTACACTATGAGGAAGGCTCCTGACATAGAATTCTGGAAATTCTGGTGATCAGGAACCCAGAGTGTCATCTGGGATCAGGGTCCTGTCAAGGAGAATCTGCATCAGAGAACACTAAGACACACCCTGAGCATGGGGGCAGGGGTCTGAACAACTAAGAAGGCACTGAAAATGCCCTGAGCCTGTGTCGCTGGCCCCCTGTATCCCTCTGCTATGCAGGGTCCGGCATGTGGGAATTCTGGTCACGTGAGCCCCACAGGTTCAACACCTGCTGTTTTTTGCAACCCTTGAGTACCCCAACATTATGAATTTCTGAGTTGGCTCCACAGACTTTAGAGGTACCTGGGCAGGGATCTGGGACCAGCTGCAAGGCAAGGTTGGGTTTCTCCTTTTGACCTCAAGGGCTCCAGGTGCCCTATTCAGAACTTTGTGGTGCCCAAACCCAGGAGCTGTTCCTGTACCTCTTCTGCTGAGCTGTGGGCTTCACCTGCCTATGCCTCAGTCAATATCCAGCACCTTCACCCTCCTGTCTCACTCCCCTCCTACAAGGTCCTAGGGAGCATGCAGTGTCCAGGGAACTCCCTGAGTAGACAAGACTCTCTGGGCCCAAACTTGGGGCAGATGGCCCACAGCCTGAAAAGTGGAGGACTAGGCTGTGGGGTGGCAAGTTGGCATCTTGACTCCCAATCTGCTCCAGAGAGGAAGGGAAGGCATTAGTGGATCTTAGGGAACAGTCTTTGTTTCTCTGAAAACTTCAAAGTGGCCTTTTATCTAGAGTCTGCCTGTGTTTTCCTTTGGTTGCTAGTAGTCATAGAAAAGTAGGTGGAGATGCTTCATGAAGTATTAAGATCTCACAGAGTGCCGCTCTTGATAAGGGTGGGCTGACCCTGTAGGATGTGTTTCCAGAAAGCAGAAGCCACGGGACAGGATCCAGTCCAGCCCCCAGAGTAGCCTGCCACAGGCATCAAGGAGTGTACTGATCGGCAAGTGGACAGCTAGCAGAGGTGTGAAGGGCAGGCAGCCACTGGGCTCATCAGGAGTTGGCACTATGGTAAGGCCTGAAGCTCGGCTCTCAGGATTCCCAAGAGGGACCCTTGAACTGGCCAGTTTTGGATTTTATTTCTTAGTTCCTGAACTAAGTAAGTTAGTTCTGAACTAACTTAGCCTGAACATAGTCCTGAACTATGGTAAGTCCTATGGTAAGTAAGTTAGTTCTGAACTAACTTAGTCTGAACATAGTCCTGAACTATCGTAAGTCCTGAAGCTCTGTGCTCTCAGGACTCCCAAGAGGGACCCTTAAACAGGCCAGTTCTGGATTTTATTTCTTAGTTCCTGAAGAGAAACAACTTTTTTGTTTGTTTGTTTGTTTTATGAGACAATGTGTAGTCCAGGCTGGCTTTGAACTCACTGTATAGCATAGGCTGGCCTCAAACTTGTGACAGCTTTGCCTCCAGTGCTGGAATTACAGGTGTGCACCACTACACCCATTGAGAAATCACTAGATTCTATAGCACTGTCAACCAAATGGTACCCCTGAACGGGCCAGCCTAGAAACTTGTATTTCCAGATGTAGCCACACTTGAGACTTGTGTGTCAGTGCTTACTTCTGAGTTAATTTCTTTCTTTTGACATCATTTACTGTTTGTATAATTTAATTTGCTTTGTGAAGTTTTGGAAGAGACCAGAAATATTGTGTTCAATATTGATTGATTGGGCTCTTCAATTTCTTCTTTGTGGATTTTAAAGGTGTGAATAGTATGGAGTGGTTGTATATATGTTGCAGTGGAACAAATCACCCCAAGATTTGGTGCCCCGTGCCAGCACCAATTGTCACCCTACATACTCTGTGGGTCAGGGACACAGGTCTAGTCTGGCAGGTCACCCTGCAGTCACTGTAGGTCAAGGACCCAGGCCTGGCCAAACAGATTACCATGTAGTCTGAGACAGACCCAGCTAGCTAGTCAGGTCACCCTGTAGTCTCTGCAGGTCAGGGCCCCAGGCTTGGCCTGTTGGCTCACCCTACAGCAGCCTCTGTGAGTAGAGCCCTATGATACTAACTGGGTGCCTCATCTGAGGTCTCCAGGGGCAGAGTGCCCATCCAGGCTCCTTTCTACAGCAGTCAGCTAAAGACCACAGTTTCTCTTCCTGGGGCCTCGGAAAGGTAGCCAAGGGGGAGCAAGTGACAGAGCCAGACATTGACAAGAAGGAAGTCAGTCTTTACAACCTAACCTAGGAGTGGGCCCCATCACTTTGCTGAATTCTCTTTATTAGAAGTAAGACCCGTGGCTCCTGTGAAGAGTAGTAGAGACCCTGAGGGGCGAGCATACCAGAAGGAGGGGGACTTGCAGTAGTGTTGTGAGCCTGGCTTTTGTCAGGTCAGAGGTGCTACATGGCCTGCACTCATGCTGTGAGCAAATCAAGAGTGCATGTAGAGAAATGTGTTCCAGTAGTCCTACTGGTCAAGCTGTGCAGGTTCTTTAGATTGCTGTCATGGCAGAGATCATTTCCATGCATGGACTCTGCAAATGAGGAAAGATAAGTTACAAATAGAAAAAGGTAACCTAAGAATTAACTGACCACCTAGAATACTATGCTAAGCCACGAGACCTCTCCAGATTCAAACAGTGGTATGTGGTACTGAGTCCTCTGACCCTAGGTCAAGGTCCCTTAATGTTATTCCTGCCACTTATGTGGTCCCAAAAACTGCTTTGTAAGAACTTTTTTTCTTAAGCATTTTTAATATGTGAAGAAAGAGTACTAGTACATTTTACTTGTGCAATCGGTTGTGTATGTCCTCTCTGAAATAGTGTACGAGACATATGCCAAGCTCCTGGGTAAGGGTGTAGGCCAGGGCACTCTCCCCTCCCTTTTTCTAGACCTTGAGAGATTCCACTCAAGATCACAGGGCTGCTGGTAAGGAGGGGATCCTTTGCCTTTGACTGGAATTCTTTGTTTAGATTGTTTGATTTTGATTATAAAGCAAGTTTCATGTGAGTCTTATTCTGTTGCCCTTTATTCATTGGCAGAGTTTGTTTCATTTATGGCCTTGTCATGTTCAGAGTTAGATATAAAGTTGAAGGTATGATTTTTCTTTTCATTTGAAATATGTTAAGACTTAGAGACAGTTCCCTGTTGTCTTACTATCAACCTTTTAATACCTGTGGTTAATGTGAAAATGCTGCACAGTCCATCCTGCTTCCAAAATGAGCTCTTCTTCAGTTCACAAGTTGATGGTTTGTCCTTAAATTTTAAAAATGTAGGGTCCTTAAAAAAACAATAACAGAATATTTTTCTGATCTACCAGAATCAAATCATGAGAGCCAGAACCCCAGGAGCAGCTGTGAGTGCTGCCCCAGCACTCTTAAGGAGCCACCCAGTGAGGGCCTGGGGATTTAGCTCAGTGGCATAAGCGCCTGCCTTGCAAGCAGGCAGTCGTGAGTTCAATCCCCGGTACCGATAAAAAGGAAAAAGACAAAAAAAAAAAAAAAAAAAGGAGCCACCCAGTGCACCAGGAAACTCCCAGCTGCCCAAGTGTGTCCTTATTGGCCCATGGTGAAGCCGATTTGCTTTTTTGAAGAGAAACTGTTAGTGTTTAGGTAAATGTAGAAGGTGGAAGTTAATTGGGTTTTTTTGGGAAATGCATTGGTATTTGCTTGACCTTGCTATCTTAACAGCAAATCCCAGATGCTTCCTAAGCACACAAAGAGTAGAAAGATGTCTACAGATGCCTCAAAGCCCATTATTGTAAAAGTCCTCTGTGGGTCTTTTAGAGCCTCATGGGGTCCTGGGGCCCATGGATGCTGGATGGGTCTCATAGGGTTTTAAGTGTCCCACATGTCCTGCCTGCTTCATCTTCTGCTTCCTGAGTAGGGCCTGGCCAAAGTAGGAGCTTTGTGTCACACCATAACTAAGAGCTGATTATGACTGTTGCCCACTGTGGCTCTGCTCTGAAGACCATGCATGTATTACCTGATTTGATTGCTAAAACCATCAAAATGCTCCCTGATCACCATCTTAGCCATGTGTGAGAAAGGGGTGAGGCACTGGCATGCCAAGAGGCTGGGGCAGAGAAGGTTGAGCTCTCTTTTTATTTCAAGGGGCTTTATTT